CTCTTCGCTCGGTTGTCCTCTGCTTTATCTGCTGTGAGGATTCAATTATGAGTTCGGATAGCCACCTTAACCTTTCAGGTTCCTAGTTAGATGCCTCGGTAGGGGGGAGGGGATGGCGTGTGTTATTTTGGACCAGGCTGAGCCTCCACCATGTTGAGATGATGGGGTCGTTCTCGCGCCCTTTACTTACTCGTTTGGGTTTGGGGCTGGGTCACTGGCGCGGAATTGCTGTGACGCACGATTCAATTTTGGGGACAAGGCAGTGTGGTCTGGTGGCACTCAGGCTCAGCCCAATCTGTCTGTCGTGCGACGATGAGGAAGGGCGCGTCTGCCTCTCGGCTCGCGGGGATGGGAGAGGAGAGAGAGTGAGTGACAGAGAGGAGAGGGGCAGAGAGGGTGGTGGTCACCACAGGACGGCATCACCCGACAGATGAGCAGCTGACCGACTCGAACGTCGTGATGATCTCCATGGACTTGTCTGCGAATGCTGGGGCCCACGGCCACCACCCAATGACGCACGAGGAACCACCCCAAAACGGTCGCGAGAGGGTGGCAGAGATGACGCTTGAGTCTGGCAGCCCTGCATGCGTCTGCTTTGTGCCCCCCGTCTGCCTCTCGTCTGCCGGGACAGCACACCACCACATCACGGCCGCCCATGCCAGCCCTGTTCCCAGGCGCGAGCCGCTTCGAGGGAGGAGGGAGGGGGTCAGACGTCAGGCATAGGCGGATTCAGCCCACTCATGGGTCCGCGATGGCTTCTAGCGGGAGAGTCTACTGTAAGGACGATGTGACTTGTCGACACCGCCGGCACCCAGCTCGCTTGATGGCGGCGAATGGGAAGCTCGCCAAGCAGCCTGGACGTGCGGTTCGGACTTTGGGCAGCCCTACCCTGGACCCCTGAGCCTGTCCGGGACGACAAGGTAGCTAGCTCGAAGCTCCGATATTTCTCTTATTTGCTGCTGCGGCTGCTGGGAGCTTGGACAGCGTTTGCTACCCGTTTCTTTTTGTTTTTTGGGGCATGCCGAGCTTCAGCCTTCGACGCCACGGGCGTCTTGGGCGTCGTTTGGCCTGTTCAAAACATGTCGTGGTCGGCATGCCGGTGCCGGGGCCTGGTGTGTGGTCTGAGGTGTGAGGTGTGAGAGGTGTGAGGTGTAGGGATGGCCTTGGCTATCAAGCCCTGGGTACATTAAGAAGGCACCGTTGCGCCTCCTGCTTGATGAAGGTGAATGAAAAGGTTCCTGTCTATATGCATGTCTTGCTTCTCTCTCCCATCCACGCTGGCAGTTTCTCGTGACGTCCAGACCATCCAGTCATCGTCCTAGCCCTGACCCGATTTGCCAAGCCAACAAGTCGTCTCGAAGAAAGCAAAGACAAACCCACCGCCGTCATGTCTTCCGACAACCTAAAGGGCCTCAACACGAGGACGCATCCTCACGTTCCGTCCTGGTTCTTCATCGTTCAGCTCGTCGTCCTCGCCCTCGGCCTCGGCGTCTTCATCGCCTCCGCCTACAGCCTCTCCTTCTTCGACGGCTATGGCTACGCCGGCGCCTACTCTGGCTCACCGGGCTTCCTGCTCTTCGCCGTACGTCCCCTCCCGTTGTAGCTACCACCACCCAAAGCACAGGACTACATCATCGGGACCAGCGACTAACACCAGGTGACAGGCCCTCCTCATCTTCATCGTCGTCGGCAGCCACATTGTTCTCGAGCGCTTATTCTCCCAGTGGTACTTCCGCCTCGCCTTTGTCATCGGCTACGCCTTGACCATCATCTTCCTCCTCTCCGCCTGGGCCTGGGCCGCCAGCATTGCCAGGCTCTTCAACGGCGACGTGTGCGACGCCTTTGGCTGCTACAGCAATGACGGCAACGGCTACGGCAGCGCCATGGCCGCCGGTGCCGCCCTCGGCGCCTTTGCATGGTGAGCTCCCGCTCTTTCACCCCCCCGTCTTTCTTGTTCTCTTTCCTCTCCTGCTCTCTCTCCGAGCCTGCAGAGAGGCGACATGAGAACCACCCCATGACCGATCCGGCATGCTGACCGTTGCAGGGTCCTCCTGATCGTCCTCCTCGTCTTCTACATTCTCGCCTCGCTGAAGGAGGGCCGCGGCGAGGTTGCCCCCGCCGCGACCGCCGCCGACGCCGAGATGGGCCACGTCAACAAGGAGGCCCACCAGCCGTCCGTCGCGGCCCCGACGGAGCAGCTACCCCAGCAGCAGTACCAGGAGCAGCAGCCCTACCAGCAGCAGCCCTATGCCCCGCAGGACCAGACCCAGCAGTACGCCCCTCAGGAGCAATATCCTCCCCAGCAGCAGCAGCAGCAGCAGCAGCACTAAGCTGCCTGCTTCTCTGAGGCGCGGGGCGACTGCTTGGCGCCGAAGGTTCCGCCCTCTTGAATATGTCAAGCGGAAAGGGCGAAATGAGTCTTTCGGGTTGCCCTTATGCTGGAGAAGAATATGTGCGTAGAGGAGAGAGAGAGAGAGAGAGAGAGAGAGAGAGAACGGCTCGTTCTCGTTCCCAGATTTGCCTTGGTGCTGCTCTGCTTCAAATGGCGTACTACAAGATACCACTCGTGTTTACTCTGCTTGGGATACCCAGGTACTTTAATATTACCGTGATAACTCATGATTGACGTCTACCTTGCCCTTCTTGACTACGACCGAGAGCCGCCTCTATAGAATTTCCTTTTGCTGTCTCATTGCCACACCATTTACACTTGAGATCATCAGATGACTCTACTGGCTTATCTGCAATTGTCTTGTTTGAAGCAGCGAAGGCGTCTTGTTGATTTCTCATTCACCGGCAACTTGGTACTCACTGGAGTGATCAGTATGTGATTAAGCAGTGTTTTACGTTTTGGCTGGATCGAGTGATTCAGACGATATCACCACAAAGCACGCATCACAAGCAACTGTGATTCGCAGTTGTAGTGATCGCAAGTATCTGTGAACGGTCGCAGTCATGAACGGGTGCAGTTATGAACGGGTGCAGTTATGAACGGGTGCAGTTATGAGCGGGTGCAGTCATGAATGGATGCAGTCGTGAATGGGTGCAAAATTGGGTGTCTAGCAAAAAGTTCAACCTCCTCTGAAAACCATTCATTCAAGCCATTTCCCGCAGTCTCTCGCAGTCAAAGACCCAATGCAGGCCAAGCTCTCTCCTTTCCTCCTGGATCCCTCATCCCAATATCCCTCATCGGCAACGCTCCCTGGATCGCATCATGCCCTGTTCATCTTTCATCTGCCCCATCTAAAAGTCATCCTCGGGAGGCGGCAGCAGCAGATCATCGGGGTCGATGCGGAAGTCCGCAACAAGATCATCCCTAAGGCTCTCGGGCACTGCGTCCCACTCCTCCTCGCTGGCGCCCTGGGTCACGGCCCTCACCTTCCAAAAGTTGCGCTCGGCCTGTGCTTGGGCGAGATCCTCCGTCAGCCGGTTCACTCTGTTCTGGCGTCGCTGCCTTCCGCGCTTGGCAGACTCATTATTCTTCTTCTTGTTCCATTCCTTGACTTGCCTGTCAATATCCGCATTGGCCGTATCGATTTGCTCCTTCTCCCACTCGGCCATCTTAGAATGCTTGCGCCGGCGCGGCGGCCACGTCGGGGGATCATTGTAGGGAAGCACGTCGACCATCTTAGGGGCACGGCGCTTTTGGCCAGGCTCAAGCTTGTTCATTTTTCTCTTTCTGATCTTTTTGCCCCTTTCCGATGCATCGTCCCTCTCAGTGGCCACCGGGACCTTGTCCTTGTTGAGAATGGCGCGAATTTCGCTTTGTCGAGTGACACTATCAGCCTCGGGCACACTGTCACCCATGAGGCTCTCAAAGTATGTCGAGGAAGGCACGCTGAGGCTCATCTCCCGACTTTCCTCTGAGCAAAGATCCTTGGAAGTGTTCATCTGTGCTTGTGCTTCTGTCTGAACGAAGAGATCCAGTTCTGAAGGTTGGGGGTCGAAAGCCGGATTCAAGTGTAACGGATTGCTAACGGCGTTTTGGAAGGTGTTGTCGAGAGGGCTTGTAAAGGAAAGAGGGACGCTTCCAGCAGCTTGGTATGGCGTTCCTTGGGGCGCTCCGAAAGGTTGTGAGAGTCCGGTGTCGGGTCTTCCACAAGGGATGTTGCATGAGGCAGGTAAACCATGAGTTGAAGTCGAATATACACCAGGAGGCAAGAAGTTGTTGATATCAGCATGGCTGCCTGGGAAGAAGCTATGGTCAAAAGGGATATTTAGCCCGCTTGCGTCGCTGTAGAGGCTACCAAGCACCTGCTCGGGATACGTGATCGAAGCGGGCGGCCCAAGGGGGCTGTTTAGAAGGGCCATGGGCACCGGGGAGTTTGGCACCAGTTGACGGCCGCCCCCGGCAGGAGGAGGCATGTCGGAGGCCTTGGAGCTGCTTGAACTGGGTTGAGTAGGCTGGCCCCCGTAAGCTTCGATGCCGAGGGCGGTCACCATGAGCTCGCGTTCTTCATCGGTGAGGAGTCCGTCGGTTTCCCCTGGTTCCACCATCTTGAAAGACGACACTTGATAATGGATGTCTGTTAATGAATACCCAAAAGAAAGAATGTGTCACGAATATAGCGTGTGAAAGATGGAATATGGGTAATGTTTGATAGAGAAGGGTCTCTCACCTTTCGACGCAGCTTAAGACGTTGATGTGCGGAAGAGCAAGAAGTAAAGTCTCGTGAGTCGAAAAGGCAGTGATTCATGTCTAATAGGCATTGCTCCAGAGAAGACCTCTCCATGGGAAGGAAACGAAGCACTGGTGAGCCTTTAGAAAGGGGAAAGGACGACCGGATAGTCCAAGGCTTCTGCCTCGCCTACAGTTCAGGAAAGCGCGATACTATGAGAGCTGTTCCTTCTTACACTCCTAAGGATCTTACACACTGCCTCTGTCAGGCCATGCTTGGGCATTGCACGCAACGAGAGAAGCACGCGACCAAACCCTGGATCTATCTGAGCCTGCGCTGGCATGCATGGAGAGACTGCAGGCGAATGACGTCCAGCCCATGCTGTTTGGACTTGCAAGATGCACTGGAGCTCTAGACGCGGCGTGTCCTGACACGATGTTGGCATCTACGAGCAGCATTGCTGCACAGGTGTAGTGCAATGTGAGCTCGAGGTGAGCAAAAGGGATGGCCATGTTCATTCCACCCTCTGTGTTTGCTCACAGGACAAAAGTACCCAGCAAACGAATGCCCATCGCAAGACAGCTGAATAGCGACTGAATGTATTAAAGACGAAGTCTTGTCTTGTCAAGCTTTCACACGATTGACGCTCCACCGCATTGAAATTGACAGAACAAACTTTGTCCGACAATTGCCCGATGACAAGAAAGGTAGCCTTCAGGGCTCGTTGGAGGTATGCTCCGATAGAAAGAGTTCATAACGGGATTGGCCGAGGCTCAGACAAGACAAAACCAGACCAGCGCGTTCTGTGGATTCTCGTATTGGGTCGCCACGCGATTCTCCTGACACACTGATATCAGTCGTTCCATTCCCCACCCACCTTTCTCGCCTCGTTCGGCGAGGCACCAAATCTAGCTTGAGCTAGGATCGTAGGGAGATAGGCGATGTAGGCGGTCTTTGAGAGCGACCTCCAGTTTCCGAGGGCACCACCTGCATCATGCCTGAATCAGGAAGGCCAACAGGGGTCACCAATATGGATAGACATGACTCGTGCTAGTGGAAGACTGACAGTGTTGTCATGCGCGAGAGTCTCGGGTTCAATGCCACTTTGTGAGCACGAGCGCTCTGGCATGGACGAACAGCGCATGCTTTGAATGGTTCTCACGGTGGAGAGAGGAGAATAGGAAACCCGAAGCTGAGGGCGGAAAGGGGGCTGTCCATAATCCACTCCCAAAGGCAAGATCCTTGCGGAGCGACCCGATACTCTAACCATATCCATCTCAGCCAACAACCAAACGACCACTCACATACAAGCATTTCTTCACAAGCTCAACGCAATGAGTGAAAGCACGGACGGAGCGCTTGTAGCGCCCTTGGATCGCTATTTTTTTCACTGCTTTCTGCCCAGGGCGAAGAAGGTGGAGAACCCTGAAGCCGCGCATGATGCCGGAACCAGGGTCCCAGAAATGGCAGCCAAGCCCTTGCCCACGACCGGGGCTAATATAGTACATTAGTCCTATTTTCAAGTCCCAAATGCTGCTGCCTAGTGTGGGTCTGGGTCCTCGACCTCTGTCCACAGCGGGCGGTTAATAGGATGTGGCCTCGCCGCCGAGGACCCTATCGTGCCTGGCTCGTGTGTTTTGGAGGTCGACAACACTAGATCGCCACCGCAAAGATGCTCCCTGTGGTGCCTGTTAGGGTCGTCCGACTTGGAGCCTTGTGCGTCCTCATCACAGTGACCGTTTTGACAACGAGTTACCTGCTCCTGAACCGTCACCATGGCATCGACGACAAACTCGAATTGCTCGCCTTCACCGACAATGGCACCGCCTACGCCGTCCATGACACCCTGACCCCGTCCTGGACAACCGAACAACTCGTGCCACGATTCGCCTATGTCCAGTACGCAACGAACCTGGAGTATCTATGCAATGCGGTAAGGGCTGCGCCTGTCGACCCTATGCAGGGCAAGCGGACTGTTCTCATCTGACAATCGTGTAGCTCATTAACTTCACCCTGCTACGTCGTTATGGTGCCCAGCACGATCTCGTGCTCATCCACCCCGAGAAGTGGATGCAAGGGACCTCGAGACAGGCAAAGGCGATTCGCAATCTGAAAGAGGCGCATCCCGAGATCCAGCTTCGCCCCTTTGGCGTCCTCTCCACGACCAAGGGCGATTCCACATGGCGTGATAGTCTCACCAAGTTCCACGCCTTTGCTCTGACCGACTATACGCGCGTTCTCGCCTTCGACTCGGACACGCTCGTCCTCAACTCGATGGACCACTACTTCCTCGCGCCCCTCGCCGCCGTCGCCGTTCCACGTGCGTACTGGCTGACGACAGCCGCCTCTCCCCAAGACGAAAGTGAGGGTGAGCACGAGGAACAGGGCGGTGATAGTGGAAGCGGAAGCAGCATCAGCGGCAGCCCCAAACCAACGGCCAAGCCCAAGCCGAAGCCCAAGCAGGCCCCCTCGATCGCCCAGCAGGTCCTCGGATCGCACGTCATGCTCCTCGAGCCCGACACGAAGCGCTACGAGCGCATTGTCGACAATGCTGTCACGACGGGCGACTTTGACATGGAGGTCGTCAACCACCTCTTCGCCGACAACGCCATGATCCTGCCCCACCGCCGCCTCGCCCTGCTGACGGGCGAGTTCCGCCACGCGCCGGACGACCACGCCGCCTACCTCGCCCCCGACACGGAAGAGGAGTGGAATGCCATGGCCGAGGTCTCGCGCTCGTACCTCGTCCACTTTAGCGACTGGCCGTTGCCGAAGCCGTGGAAGTCGAGGACCCAGGCGCAGTGGGACGCCGCCCTGCCCGCGTGCGACGAGAACGAGCCGCCCCGGGATGACAGGCCAAAGTGTGCCGACAGAGTCATGTGGACGGGTTTCTACGACATGTACGATCAAATGAAGGGCGAGGTGTGCGGAGTGCTCACCTCGTAGAGTTGGGTGGGCGTGTTTTCTCGAGGTGTTGGTGTTTCATCTGGGTAGCATTTGAATCATGTATACATGGCGCAGCGGATCTTGGTTTTTCGATTTGAAAATAAAAAGTTATGATACATGAAACAAGACGGTTCTTGGTGACAGGCACAGCCATATTGACCTAGTAGTTCATGAGCTGCCGTGGACATAGTGATCATCATCTCATGACCGATGTCACAGCGAGGGCAGTGGCGGGCCCGCGGAAGCTTGACATACCGCCAACCCCGAGCCCAATAAAGGTGTGGTGGCTGGTCCAGGGGCCGGACCGATGCGTAAACATCAGCCTCGCAGGAAGGCGCTTGCTTGCTTGCAGCTTGGCCGTGTACACCAGCGTTTCTGGACAATATACATGGCCAGGCGCTATCATACCGTTGGATTCTTGGGGGCTAAAGCCGCGTGGAGCCCCCGCGGCTGTTCCGAACGCACGCCTCTACTACCGACGACAATGGTGCCATGGCCAATTCTACTCAGGCGTGTTCCGGCTTACCGAATTGGCAAGTCAAACGGGGACGAGACGTCCAACATGGCTGTAAACGGAAACATACTGATAAAGGCCGTATAATCAAACGTTACAGGCACCTCCGGCTGTTCGCAATCTGGTCCTTTGATAGTAGGTAGGCTGTGGCATGCAGTTCCAGAATTGTTCGAGTCAAATATGTCCTTCTTCGCTGTCGAGCAGGAGAGAGTCACAGTCACCTTGGCCAGGGAGCTTAGGATGACAGACATACACTTTGACCATTGCGAGTCGAACTCATAATAAATTACAACGCCTCATTATTGGTAGCTCTATGGACTTAGTCACACAGCAACCGTCATTAAAAACTGCACGCATCGTCCACACGACGTTTACACGCTCAGCATCAACGCTGCCGCCACTGCGCCCAGGCCCCCGACGATCCCAGTCCGGAGGGTGCCGGCGGCGTTGTCGTCGTCGTCGTTGTTGTTGTTGTTGCTTCCGCCGTTGCTGTTCTCGTCGCCGCCGTTGTCGCTGCCGCCGTCGGTTGCATCACGATCAGGGACCTCATCGGGATCATCGCTGCCCTGCACGACACTCGAGGCGCGCACGCAGCGCAGCGCAGTCGAGTCATCGCCCCACTTGAGCACCACAGGCCAGACGTTTGTCACGGCCACAGCATAGGCTTCCTGCGCGGCATCAGAGCCCTCGGCCTCGGCACCGCTGGCGTGGGCGAAGAAACGACCCGTCTCCGTGATGTTCTTGGGGACGCCTGCGAAGCGTTAGTCAAAATTGTCGGGAGGGACCTGCATCAGGGTTAAACTTACGGAACGCCCAGCTGGAGACATCAGTCGAGATCCAGTCCTCGCAGCTGCTGGGCACTTCGACATCGCCGCTACACGCACCGGCCGCCTCGAGGTCCTTCTTACACGCATCGCTCAGCTCCTCGCAGCTGCCGTCATCGCCCTGTGCGTCCCGCGTAGCATTGGAGCTGAGGCCCCGCCAGATGGTGGCGCAGGCTTCGCCTTCAGGTGCAATGCCGTTGGGCGAGGCAAGGGCGAGGACAGTGAGCTGGGTAACATCATCGTGCGCAAAGGAGCCGGAACCGGCGTCATCGAGAGACAAGTCGGCGGCAACAAGAATGCGGAGACCCCAGGCGCCGGCGCCGTTGGCACTTGATGTGTCGTTGGTGCCAAACCCGGGAACGGGCAGCGAGGTTGTGGCGTTGGGTTGGGCGAGGGCGAGGCCAAAGGAGCGCGAGGGCAGGGAGTAAGGCGGCGAAGCGTCCGGCGAGCCTGTGGAGACAGAAGAGGCCACGGCGAGGGCGGCGAAGGGCAGGGATCGGATGAAGGCAGACATGATGCGTGTGTGGCACCCAAAGGGGGGGGGGGATAGTTGCTGAGTTGATGGCTGTGCTGGGTGGTTTAAGTCTCTTTGGTGGTAATCTTGCCTATCGTCTGATGATGTCGTTGTTGATGGACCATTGATATGGAGAGAGATCAGACGGAAGATGGGAGTGTAAGGTGCTGGAAGCGCAGTCGAGCAGCATCCGGAGCAACAGCTGATATATGTCGGACGACATTGGGGCCAACCGCTCGCTGCGCAGCCGCCCAACAACCCATACATGGGCACAGACACGGCCAGCCAGGCACAGGCAATTCAGTTCCGAGAAGCCAAGGCCTCAAGCGGGCCATCGCCATCGTGTCAAGCCCTCGACCAGTGCCGCCAAGCGCAGCACCTTGGCGCCATATACCCCCGGCGCTGCGCCGTCCGATTCGGCGGCAGAAGCAAGCACGGGTCTAAAGTGACGTAAAGCTGGGGCCCGGCCGAGTTTTCAAGGGGGCTCATGTCGGGAGCTCGGGGCGTCTGGTGCCTGGCGGCGTCGGGTAGTTGATGGCCAGACGCACAGGCTGGGCCAATGTTGATGGGGTGATGGCAAATACGGCAGACCTGCGGGTGGAGTGGTCCGGTTGATGTTGTTGCACGATAGGACGCCGCGATTGACAAGGGAGCAGGCTGTTGGAACCAATGTTTCGGGTCTTTTGGCGTCCAGGCTTGGTGTGGCTCGGCATTTGCATGCAGCTGACAGTGTTGGTGTGAAGGGAGAGACCTGGTTTTTGATTCATCTCAGAGGACGAATACGAAAGGAGGTGCAGGAGGCAAGAATCACTTCCACTGTGAAGCTCGGTATAAGTCGGCGAGAAGCTCACACCTGCCCGCTTGCTCTGTTGCCGCTTCGTTCCTTCCAACCTTAGCACGTACCCCAAGGTGGTACCTTACCCAGGCGCCGAGGTAAATACCTGGGCAAGGCACTGTACCTTACCCTACCTCAGGCAGGAGGTAGGTAGGCGCATATCGAACAAAATGACGGCCGACTCGAAGGAGCACACATCTTGTCGAAGCCATCCGCGTGGACTTGTTCACGACCGTTGGTGAAATCTCTGAGTGCGGTGAATAAAGCAAGGAGGTCGCAAGCCGATATGACTGTCTCACTTCCCCAGTCTTTCATGCGTGACTGATCGACAACACTACCACTGTGCCCAGCCGGACCTGAGAGAAACAACCAGGCCCAAGCCGCCGAGCATGGCCGACCGACAACTGCACATTGCAGCTCGGAGAAAGCGCCTTTGCACTTGGGAGGATTGGCAGCCGCTGGGTGATAGACCAACCGTGGAAAACTCTTCCTTTCCGGCTCCTTCTCTATCGGATTATCCCATCTACCATTTCATCTATCGGATATACTGTACTGTACTGCTACCAAAAAAGCTGTCAGCGGCAATGCGCGCTGCTGCTGTTCCGCCCTGTCGGGGTTGACCCGTTGAATGCTACAATGCTTGCCGCCGCCCCCTGAAAAACGCCGTTGAGTGCCGATGCAACCATCCTGTCGTCATCGTGTTGAAAAAGTTTTGTGTAAACAAACACCAAGATGCAAGAAAAAACAAGAACGTCCCGAGGGAGGCTCTCAAGATCTCTATGCCCGCCCCCCAAGGCCTGCCCAGTCGGTGTGCTCATGCCAGTCCCTTCTGACTGTGGCTCCTTGTCTCGTCCATCTCCTTCCAGATGTACTCATTGAAATCATCCGCGTTGTCGAGATACAGGTGATGGCCCGCCTTCTGCACGACAATCACCCTCGCCGAGCCATTCTCCCTCCGCTTCTCCTCGGCCGTGCCCTCAAGCAGCGCTCGCCTCTTTGCTGCCTTGAGTTTCTCCTCGGACGCCAGACCGCCAGCGACGTCCATCCAGTCGTTCTCGCCGTACATCATGACGATGGGGATACCGGTCTCCTTAATCTTTTGCCCGTTCTTCTCCACCGTCTGCCGGCCGACGCCCTCGATGCGGTCGATGATGGGGCTGCGTGCGTACGCCCCGGGCGCGAGGATGTATGGTAGCGCGTACTCGCCGCTGCCCTTCTGCCGAAACACCGAAAATGCATAGTCGTGCAGAGAAAGCGCCTCGGCCGTCGGCAGGTGGTTGAAGCGGCGTGACGTCCAGCCCGAAACGATGCGAGGACCCAATGGGCCACTGAACCGCACCACACTAAAGGGGGACACGTTAGCATCCCAAAGCCAGGCGAACCAGCCGGGAAGCGGTCGCTTGGGAGCATTGCTCGAGTTTGTCGCCGTCGCGCTCTTGACGCTCGCGTTGGCATGGTTGTGCGTGTCGTTGACGACGCTTTCTTGGTCCTGCGTAAACTCGTTCTCGAGCGTTGACGAACCCGGCTCCGGCATGGCTTCGTTGACAGCATAGGGATCCGAGGGCACACCGACGGGGGATGCGAGAATGAGCTTCTTCAAGTGGCCGGGGTATTTGAGGGCATACGCCACAGAAAGGTAGCCGCCCAGGGAGTGACCGATGAGGGTAAACTTGTCGATATTCCTGGCTTTCCTCCACTCCTCCAGTGCATCGACGAACCAGGCCTCCGCCTCGTCAATCTTGCCCTGCTTATCTTTGGCGTGCATCTTGAAGGGTGGCCTGGTCGAATTACCCATGCCGAGCATATCTAGCGCGTACAGTTTCCAGCCTTTGCGTCGTGACAGGGGCTCGAAGTTCTTGTAGTAGAAACCCAGTCCGGCGCCGTAGCCATGCAGCATGACGAGGTTCTCCTCGACCTTTTCGCCAACACGCTCGACGGAGTATTCGTTGAGGGCACGGTTCTGACCCGAGAGGTTCACCATCTGGGTCTTCCAAACGCGGGGTCCGAAAGGGTCGGACTGATCGGCGGGATCGATGGTGGCATGCTCGCGGGCGTCCTTGAGGTAAGGGATGTGGGCAAGGACGTTCCGTTCGGCGGTCGAGGGGCTGATACTGGACCACTGCAACTTTGTTAGAAACCGTTTGATCTTGACGTTCACATACAGCTCGGTGTGCGACGCAACACTGGTGGCGATCGACGTACCCATTGGTAGGCAGCTTCTTTGTAGCCCAGAGGAAAGTAGGCAAAGTTGGGACGCGACGGCTTGGCCTTGTCGTCGACCGTCTTCTGCTGTGCCGTTGCCATCGTCTGGTGGGTTCTCCTTTGAATCTTTCTCTGTTGTGCGAGTTCGTCGATGGTGGGGGCGCGAATGGTTGAGGTACTCGTAGTTGTCGTTCCGACGATGGACGAGGCGGCAGCGAAAGTAAGTCGCGACCCGTGCACGACGGCAGATGCTGAATGATGCTGTATCATACCGGGTGGCGAGCGAGGCGGGAGGGCGCAACGGGGTACTTGTAGGTGAGGAGAGCGGATTCCGACTCGGAGACGGGGGCTGCGGACAAAACGGGGGACCGGGCTTGACGGTCGTGCCAGACCGATATGCGACAGAATGCGCGAGACAGGGAGAGGCAGTACGACAATGCGCTCAGTAAGCACTGGCACGAATGCGGATGCGACGAATGGGACGGCAGGTTTGGTCCAGTAGAACCCTGCCAACAAGGGCGTTGACTCTCGCACTCGGATTTAGATAGCAGTGGTGACGCACTGGATTGCTTCCTGGGGGGGCCAGAAGATGTGACTTGAGGTGGCCCTGACGATCTGGGTGGATGTACTTAAGCAGCCGGAGTTTGGGGGGGCGCGTCCGGTTGGGCGGGCTTTTGAGATGGTCCGTATCAGTCTTGTATACAGGGGGAAAAAGTAACCGAGCGTTGCGGAGTTTGCGGTTGGGTTGCCGGAGATGGCTTGCTCGAAGGGGTGAGATATGTATAGGAGTGTAAAGGAAGTCAACGTCGGACGCAGAAAGTATCGAGCCGCGAAAGAGAGAGGAGGAGAAAACACAAAAGCCAGGTTGCCATTGGGACATGGGAGGCGAGGCAACCACGCGCACTTACACGGTTTTCGGCTATGTTGAGCTTTCGTTGAGGATAGCGGTCAGATGCGCAGATTTACAGGGGGGGGTTAGAGGGGCAAGAGCGGCTAATGCGGGCCAGACACGGCCCCATAGTACGATACCTGCTGTATGTGGCTGCCTGTACCTGGAGCGTTCTTTCCCTCTCAACGATATTGCCCCGATAGTTGCCTCCTCTGGTTTATCGGCTAGCGCTGTTGCCAAGGTCATTCCAGGCCACAGCATCGGGAAAGATCGCCCAACATGACGCAGTTGGGCGGTGGGCAGTGGGCAGGCATCTCCAACCAGCACCTGCGACCAGCTGGCCGAGCAAAATCCAGTGAGACAAGGCGGGCTCCCGCGGGCCTGGAGCTTCCCAGCTGACTGACATCTGATCCTGGATCCAACCCAACCCACCATCTCCAAACTCCAACACCGACACCAGACATCCGCATTCATCAACGTCACAGAATCAACGCCCCCAGATGCCTCAATCTAGCCGTAGCTGATCCAATGCCGAGTGTCAGCTCACTGCATTGAAAAAAATAAAGCTCGCCTGCCAATTTCGGCTCGACGTTGGTCGTCCCGAGACCGCCCCCACAATCTCCATTTCCCTCCCTCTCGACAAGTCCTCGAGAAGCCCCGGCACACCTCTTCACATGGCCGACGACGTCGATTCGGTCGTCAAGGGAGCCCCTGCGCCTGGAAAGCATGCATCCGATAATGTCGGGGGCACGAGCGGTGTCACGACCAACACTGGCAAGCACGGCGACCCGCTGAGCCACACCCCGAGCTCCCCCTCCATGATCTACCTCAACCTCCTCGTCCTCGAAGCTTCCCTACGCGCCCAGTACCTCGAGCTGCGTGCTCGACGCCGCCACCATACCTTCTTCTTTGCCATACTGTCACTGTGGATCGGCGGATTCGGCTATGCCCTGTTCTTTGCGCCACGCGAGGACGGTGTTGGCGTAGGAGGGTCTGTGTACTGGGGTGTTGAGACGATTGAGAAGCTCTGCTTTATGGGAGGCATCATGACCGCTATTCTGGTTTGGGCCACCGGTATCTGGGATCGCGGTATCCGCTGGCCCAGACGCTGGTTCGCCATTTCTAATCGTGGCCTCCGCGGCTTCAATGCGAAGCTCGTCATCATACGAAGGCCTCTGTGGGCCGAAGTTGGCTCTACTGTCGGCTTCTTCCTGACCTATGGTCTTTTCTCCCACACGGCCAGTTCGTCTTATCGCTACATCGATCCATCAATTCTGCGTGCCGTCGAGAAGGAGCTTCGCCTCACAACCGAGAAGCATCCCGCCCTGCCCATCCTTACCGAAGACGAGGAGAAGGGCGGTCACGAAGAAGACCTTGCCCCGGGAGGCGACTACGTCAAGCTGTTGCTGCTCGCCAAACCTTTCACGCCAACATTCCGAGAGAACTGGGAGCTGTACCGCACCGAATACTGGGAAAAGGAGAACGAGCGCCGCGCCCTCATCCTGAAAAAATTGAAGGAGCATGAGCGACGACTGGCTAAGGAGACCTGGGGCATATTTTGGTGGTTGCCTTGGCATCGTACGGATACTGGCCGCCCACGCTCCTCGACAACCCTTCAAAGCCGGAATCGCGATCAGGATCATGACCCCGAGAAGCTCCATCCTCGAACTGCAGCCCTTGAGAAGCAGCACCGGCGCCGCGGTAGTAGCGTGCGCCGGCGCAGCTCGACCAGCTCTTCTCGCAGCCCTCTCCCGGCCGATGGCGAGGATGCACCCGTCAGTCGCAAAGCCAGCACGGCCTCTAATGCTTCGGACAAGAAGAGACGGAACAAGCTTTCGACGAGCTCTAAGCCCAAGCGACCCAACGTGGAATCGAGGTCGGTGACACCGGACATCCCATCACCCCTAGCACGGGAGAGCAGCATTGCTAGCGACGTGACATCATCGGATGTGGGAGGAGAGCGGATGCTGCGAAGCTCGTCGTCCAAGTCCAGCGTGGGCACGGGCCGGGATTCCAAATTGAGCGAAGCGTGACGAATGACAATTGACGAGTCTCCAAGAGACGATTGTATGAAGCTTCATTCCCTCCGTGCGTGTCGAAAGTCTTCCCAACTTTGATGAATCCGAACCGAGAAGCGCTTCTGCCAGTTGGGCCTGGGAGACATCAAGCTGACGGCGTTACTGCCACGTTTTCTCCACTTGTCGCCGTGCTAGTCAGGTACCGTGGCGCTGCGTCACGAATCTCGGTATCGGATCATACTCTGTGGGTTGCCCGTAATCCCCAAGACACTCGGCAGCAGGCGCCGAGCCCGACACACCGGGTCTCACGGCCTGGCGACTCTCATGCTCTCATCTTGCGCTACTCGTGACGCGTCACCGCCATCCCATTCAACCCATTTGAGGCGAGCCTTCTCATACTATAGTGTTGCCAGAAACGTGGCTCGCTGCCAAGCCAGTGACGTCCTTCCAGGTTCGATCCCCGTTACTACTAGTTCCCATTCAGTCCACAATCGGCAACCCCGGCCTGCTGCAGCCCAGCCAGGTAGTTGTTCAATCTATGTATGGGAACCCTGCTTTGACATCATTGGGGTCTGTAGTCATTGCGCGTCTTCCCCCGCCTCACGCTTCCAGCCTCATGCCGTCGGGGAAAAGATGGTCTGCGAAGAAAGCCGGGCGCGGTTTGCCAAGATGGCGATGCCTGCAGTTCCTCATATACCACGCCCTTGCCCTCACCATTCCCATTCCCAATGACTGTGCTGTAATATCCCGGAAATTGCCCCCATTTGTATGCACGACTCTTCGCGGCGCAGACATACAAACGCCCTAGTTTCCTCGATTGGAGCATCAATAGCAAGCAGAACTTTGAGATAGCATGCCGGCGGCCGTTTCACAGGAAGCGGGCATCAGTGATGAGCTGGTGAAGCACTGCACGGCGCCTGACAGTGTCACGACGCTGCTGGCCGAGGACCCCTCGCTGACGCCAGGTGATGCATGGAAAAGGCTATATGGGGCAAAGGCGAAGCGGCGTGAGCAGAAGGAAAATGAGGTAAGCGGGCCGTTGCCGGCGGTGGATGAGTTGACTGGCCTGGAGCGCATCGCGGCGTGTGGAAAATGGGGAGGCGCAAAGCCGAGCGAGCTGTTCCTGAGGGTAAGGCCACGCCGCTGTCCTCCGAATTGTGTCGATGAGATTGCACTTCTGACCGAATGCATTAGATGTATGATGCAGCCCTTGAATCGATTGATGGCGATCTTGAGCAGGCTGTCGTCAGCCCTTCGCTCATGGGAAGCTGCGGCACGGTGCCCCTGACCATCATCTCGACGTAGGCTCCCCTCCCCCCCTCTGCCCGAGTTGCGATTCGCGTATGCTTACCACGATGATAGTATACCAGACATCGCCCGCCACATGTCGAACCTCATTGTGCGCGCAGAAAAGGAGGTCTTCCTCGCAACAAACTACTGGATCAGCAGCGTCGCCGTAACCTTCATCACCAACGCCATCCGCGAGCTTGACCGTCGTGCCGGCGCCCGCGGCGTCAAGGTCGTTGTCAAGATCATTTACGACCGTGGCGCCGTCAAGCAGGTATACACGCCGCACTACGACGTGGGCGAGAAGGAGTTCACTGATCCGCAGGTGGCGCTGCCGCGGCGCGCGGACATCCCCAACATTGACCTGCAGGTTCTCAATTATCACAAGCCCATGCTTGGGACCTTTCACTCCAAGTTCATGATCGTGGACCGAAGGATCGGACTGGTGCAGAGCAACAACATCCAGGACAATGCCAACCTGGAAATGGCGATACAGGTCGAGGGGGCTCTTGTCGATTCGTTGTACGACATGGCGCTCATTACGTGGGATATGAATCTTGGCCAGGGAATGCCGATGATCAACTCGGCAGCGGTGGCAGATGAGAACAACATGCCCAGCTGGACGGAGGAGTGGGATGATCAGTTCACAGACGAGGGCAGATTGAGGGGATTCGACGCTGTCGTCGACCCGGCGAAGATGATTTGGAAGCAGCAATTTGGGAAGCCGGACGACTTGATGAACGAAGGGCGGACGAATGAACACTCCGCGAATGGCCTCCATGGAGTCGACGAAACGGCCCCGCCCGGACTCAACGGCGCGGACAGGACGCCAGATGGTTCTCGAAAGGGCCCCAGCACTAGGCTCTCCAACGAGCTCCCCGACGGCTCCTCGGCCGCTTTGACCGATG